TGTACACTGAAGACTATTTCATTGAAGACAACGACAACCAGCAGCGCTGGACATTTAAGACTGACCAACAATTTCAGTACGAGACAGGACATGAGTCCCTGGAGACAAGATACATAAAACTGACGCGTCTCGATGACCTCGAACAAGTAATGATGTTTAGACGAGGACCAGAAAATGGCCAACGTTTGTTTGTAAGCTTAATTAAACAGATGTTGGCCTTGGATGCAAACCAGCGCATAACACCATCGGAGGTTCTCCGGCATCCCTTTTTCAACCCTAAGAGTTCCCCTTGCATTGACATGAGTGCTGAAAGACCACAAAACCCTGTGGTCTTTCAGCACCCTTTAAACTTGAAATGCAAGAGATCAGAGAAAATCAACTGCAGTTTTCAAAACTCGGTTGAATTTTCTCAGCAAGTATTCATCCACACGTCAGCTAACCCATCCTTCAGCTCAGATGAGCTTGAAATAGTTGAAGGGAGCATTTTGGGAAAACACTACAAGGTAGAGGCTTTCCTCGGAGAAGGGGGCTTTGGTATTGTAGCCAAATGCCGTGATACCAACACCAACCAAGCTGTGGCTATTAAGGTGAACAAGAGCCGCCCTGATATTCTGCAACAGGCAAAAAAGGAAATTTTCATCCTGGAGCAGCTGCGAAGGTTGGATCCAGAAGCCGCCAACATTGTTCAATGGAACGGCTTTTTCCTTGACAGAGAGCGGGTTTGCCTGAAATTTGAACTCCTTGATCAATGCCTGTGGGACTACATACGGAACCCGAATAACCGGCGTCTCCCCATAAGCGAAGTCAGGCCAATTTTAGGTCAACTCACAAATGCTCTGTCACACCTGGGTTCTTTGGGAATAGTGCACGCTGACCTAAAACCTGGAAACATCATGGTTGTAAATCGCTATGAGTCTCCAGTCAAAGTCAGACTTATAGACTTTGGCCTCGCATGTCCTGCGTCTGCAGTGATGCCTGGTGACCGTGTGGGGACAGTTGGTTATAGTGCGCCTGAGGTTATGCTTGGCCTTCCTTATAACGAAGCATGTGACATGTGGTCTCTGGGGCTGGTGGCTGTGGAGCTTATTACAGGGGTGCCACTCTACCCTGGAAAAAAATATTATGATGTTTTGAAATTCATCATAGAGACTCAGGGTCAGCCACCAGATCATGTTCTCGATC